GGAGTGGACTTGATGGTGATGGTGTCTATCCAACCATCTCATCCTCTGTCATCCCCTTCTCCTCCTGCTCTCAATCTTTCCCAGCATCAGGGTCTTTTCAAATGAGTCAGTTCTTCTTCGCATCAGGTGGCCAAAGGATTGGAGAATATTCAGGACTGATCTGCTTTAGGATGGACTGGTTGGATCTCCTTGCAGTCCAAGGGACTCTCAAGAGTCTTCTCCAACACCACAGTTCAAAAGCACCAGTTCTTCAGCGCTCAGCTTTCTTTATAGTCCAACTCTCACGCCCATACATGACTACTGGAAAAACCATAGCCTTGACTGCCCGGACCTTTGTGGACAAAGTAATGTCTCTGCTTTTTAATACCCTGTCTAGGTTGGTCATAACTTTTCTTCCAAGGAGTAAGCGTCTTTTAATTTCATGGCCGCAGTCACCATCTACAGTGATTTTGGAGCCCCCCGAAGTAAAGTCTGTCACTGTTTCCACTGTTTCCCCATCTATTTGCCATGAAGTGATGGGACCAGATGCCATGATTTTAGTTTTCTGAATGTTGAGCTTTAAGCCAACTTTTTCACTCTCCTCTCTCACTTTCATCAAGAGACTCTTCTCCCAGAATATTGGAAATAAAAGCAAAAATAAACAAATGGGTCCTAATCAAACTTAAAAGCTTTTGCACAACAAAGGAAACTATAAGCAAGGTGAAAAGACAGCCCTCAGATTGGGAGAAAATAATAGCAAACGAAGCAACAGACAAAGGATTAATCTCAAAAATATACAAGCAACTCCTCCAGCTCAACTCCAGAAAAATAAATGACCCAATCAAAAAATGGGCCAAAGAACTAAACAGACATTTCTCCAAGGAAGACATACAGATGGCTAACAAACACATGAAAAGATGCTCAACATCACTCATTATCAGAGAAATGCAAATCAAAACCACAATGAGGTACCATTACACGCCAGTCAGGATGGCTGCTATCCAAAAGTCTACAAGCAATAAATGCTGGAGAGGGTGTGGAGAAAAGGGAACCCTCTTACACTGTTGGTGGGAATGCAAATTAGTACAGCCACTATGGAAAACAGTGTGGAGATTTCTTAAAAAGCTGGAAATAGAACTGCCATATGACCCAGCAATCCCACTTCTGGGCATACACACCGAGGAAACCAGATCTGAAAGAGACACGTGCACCCCAATGTTCATCGCAGCACTGTTTATAATAGCCAGGACATGGAAGCAACCTAGATGCCCATCAGCAGACGAATGGATGAGGAAGCTGTGGTACATATACACCATGGAATATTACTCAGCCATTAAAAAGAATTCATTTGAATCAGTTCTAATGAGATGGATGAAACTGGAGCCCATTATACAGAGTGAAGTAAGCCAGAAAGATAAAGACCATTACAGTATACTAACACATATATATGGAATTTAGAAAGATGGTAACGATAACCCTATATGCAAAACAGAAAAAGAGACACAGATGTATAGAACAGACTTTTGGACTCTGTGGGAGAAGGCGAGGGTGGGATGTTTCAAGAGAACAGCATCGAAACATGTATATTATCTAGGGTGAAACAGATCACCAGCCCAGGTTGGATGCATGAGACAAGTGCTCGGGCCTGGTGCACTGGGAAGACCCAGAGGAATCGGGTAGAGAGGGAGGTGGGAGGGGGGATCGGGATGGGGAATACATGTAAATCCATGGCTGATTCATGTCAATGTATGACAAAACCCATTACAATATTGTAAAGTAATTAGCCTCCAACTAATAAAAATAAATGAAAAAAAAAAAAAGAGACTCTTTAGTTCTTCTTCGCTTTCTGCCATAAGGGTGGTGTCACCTGCATATCTGACGTTATTGATATTTCTCCTGGCAATCTTGATTCCAGCTTGTGCTTCATCCAGGCCAGCGTTTCCACGATGTACTCTGCATATAAGTTAAATAAGCAGGATGAAAATATACAAGCCTTGGGGTACTCCTTTCCCTATCTGGAACCATTCTGTTGCTCCATGTCCAGTTCTAACTGTTGCTTCCTTACCCGCATACAGGTTTCTCAAGAGGCAGGTCAGGTGGTCTGGTATTCCCATCCCTTTCAGAATTTTCCACAGTTTATTGTGATACACACAGTCAAAGGCTTTGGCATAGTCAGTAAAGCAGAAATAGATATTTTTCTGGAACTCTCTTGCTTTTTTGCTAAACCAATGGATGTATCCCTCCTGCTTTCCAGGGGCCTCATATAAATGAAGACTTCTCTGGACAGTGTACGGGAGTTCATTTGCTCCACACTCTCATCAGCTCTTAGCATCCACCGACTTTTCCATTTTCGACTTTCGTGTGTTCATTGGGAATGCACACCCCTTCTCACTTCTTGAAATCTGTAACCCCTGGAAAGTCAACTGTCTCAAGATAAATTGAATGTGTTTGCTTAACCCCGCACTAGGGCAACTGGCCTGGAAAGGGGCTGTTGTGTCCACCTCAGGTGTGAGAGTCCATTTCTGACCAGGATGTTGAAGTGTTGGCCTCTCCAGGCCACAGGAGTGAGGATGTGCCAGGAGGTTGGGTGGGCAGTGGCAGGCCTGAAAAGCCGAGGGTGACCCTCAGGGGCAGGGAGGCCATGAGGGGTGGGGTTCTGGCTCAACGAAAGGAGATGGAAAGCTGTATATGTTTCCTGGGTGATCAGGAGGGTGGGTGTTTGCAGAGAGGAGTGAGAGGTGGGGGTGTCACTGCATGGCACTGTGAATCCCTCAAAGGCAGTGGCAACAGACTGCAGTGGTCAGAGCACACATTTGGGCTCAAAGCATCCTGGGTCCCAGTCCAAGCACTGCCACTTCCTGGCTGTGGGACTCAGGGCAAGTGTCTTCCCTCTCAGAGCCTCAGGGTCCTCATCCATGGAATGTGCCTGATCATCTGTTCCCTTGAAGCTATCTGGTGATTGACATCAAGGCCGTGCGAGCCATTGCATGCGAATTGTCAGGAACTGGACACAAGTGAATCGTGAATGCTCGTCCGTCAACAAGTGTCTGGGGAGTCAGATGGCACAGGCCTAGGCTGGGGAGAAATCTGCGGGAGCTGCCAAGGTGTATGTACACCTCAGCCAAGGCCCCGGCACATAGTAGGGCCTCAGAAAACACTGGCTGAGACCTGTTGTGGCCTTTGTGGTGGGGGACCCCGTGGAAGGGCTGAGGCTGGGGGCGGGAGGGAGGCCTGCCTTTGTCTCATGTCTGTCCTGCGGTTGAAGTTCGGCCACCTCCGCGGCGCCAGTCGTCAGTTTCTGGGGCACTCAGGGTCTGGCCCCGATCCCTGGGACCTGCCTTCCTCCTTGCTCCTGAGGCTGCCTCTCTTGCTCACTTCCTCACTCCCCACGTGGCTCTCAGCACTGCCCCCTGCGCGGTGTGGAGGGGCAGGAGCCAGGTGAAGATATCCATGGGGAAGGGGGCGGAAGGGGAGAGAGGTGCAAGCCTGGGGGCCCGGAGAGGTGGTGACTCCCCCAGCATCCTGCCTCTGAGAGCTGCTCTCGCCTCCTTTCCAGATGAGCTGCCTTATCTCAGGTGCCCGTGGCACACAGTGCTCCCGCTCACACCTGCGGCTTGTGGTGAGTTGCCCCGACCTCGTCCATGAGAAGGCAGGTACCTACTGAGTGCACAGTAGGGTGCTGGGAAGTCCCAGGTTGAGGGAGCCAGAAATAGTCCAGTGTCATTCATCATGCCAGAGCGGGGTTCCCCAAATCCGGACCGCCAACCCGGATACCTGCACCTGGGAGGGGACTGAATCTCTGTCAGAATCACAGAGTGTCCACGGGGCAAGGCATCAACCCCGCAGCCAGGGAGGCAGACAGCAAAGCACCAACAAATAAGGCAGAAACCCACGTGAAGCCTGTCTTTAAGGGAGGGGTCCACAGAGAGCCTGCCTCCTGGGGGTACGGTCCAGGCCATCGCTCAGAAGGGTTGCACTAGTGGTGGACTCCTGCTGCTTGCTTGGAATTCTTTCTAATTTTTGAGCCAAGTGATGGGTGTTTTTGCTTTCCACTGGGTCTGGAACATGATGCAGTTGGGTCTGGGTCAGGACCCAGGTCTGGTTGAGGGAGTGGAACCTGTTCTTGGGGCAAAGAGGCAAGCAATGGGTGGCTGGGCAGGTGGGCTGCGGTCTTTACACTACTCTCTCCTTCCTCTTAACCTGGAGCCTTGTCCTCCAAGCTGTGGACATCACTGAGATACCCAGAAAAGCCCCGGATGGCCCCTTCCTGCTACGGAGTCCTTCCCAGAGTTCCAAAGTGTCTCTGCCCTCACTGTCGTCTGCCTGGGGAATGAAAGTTTAGCTTCAGCCCCCTCAGGGATCACACAGCCCTTGAAGACACAGGGACCTAAGCTGGCCTTGGCCTCACTGGAAGAGCCCTGCGTCTAGGGAGAAGTACCCTGGAGCCTCCCGAAGAGCCTCGGGTCATGGTCATGGGCAATGGGCTGTCCAGGTCTGCCTGCAGCTTTCTCCCATGAAATAGGCTGTCTTGCCTATGATGGTTTCTCCTTTACCTGCTGGAGGTGTGAGGATGTCACTGTGAGGCCTACCTCGCTGTCCTTAGGACTCGGGAAGAGGGATGAGGTCCTAAAATTGTGTGGCTGATGAGGGAAGGAATCCTGGACAGTGACTCCAGAGATGGGGTGGGGGCAGGTAGGTCCTGGGGGATGTCTGTGGAGCCTGTCCCTTGGTGGGAGGGACAGTGGCACCAGCTCACAGCCCTCCACCCCACCCTTGCTCCTGTATTTGACGGCCACTGTATTTGACTAGGGGCGCACAGTGTAGGAGATCATGAAGCTGTGGACTGGAGCCTCTGGAAACTCATGGTCGCCCCCCCTCAGCTGGCATCTCTGCCCTTCCCAGCGCCGGACCCACCCACACCTGCCTGTCTTTTAGGCAGAGGCGGCCCCCACCTGTCCCCGAGGGCCTGATCGCGGGCTGCTCAGAGCCACACCTGCCCAGGAAAAGGAGGAAACATCCGATTGATTTCGCAACTTTAATGGAACACAGATACCCAAAACACGACAGCACGAGGAAAGCACACAATGAAAGCAGGAAGGGCATAGAGTGCGTCATCTTGCATGCCATCTTCCATGGACAGGGAGAAGCGGGCCTAGAGTGCTCTGTCAGGGACCGGGCAGCGGAGGCACTCTGGCTCGGCGGGGGACTGCCACAGCTCTTCAGGGCTGCCTGGAACCAGGAGACACAAAAGCCGGAGTAGAGGTGTCAATGCATGTGAGGGACAGCAAGGACAGACTGAGTGTCTTGTCAGACTCTCCTCGTTCCCCCAGGACACCCCAGGCCTACCCCTGACACCCCCCAGCCCGTCCCCACCCCAGCCTCCAGAGTCCCGTGTAATGACCTCCAATCTTACTGAATCCAGGAGAAGAAGCTGGCACTGGTTCTGGCAGCGTTTCTGGTCCGGATGGTGGAGCTGGTGCTGGGGCCATCAAGCATGCTGGCGCTGGCCGCGCCATTGGTGCCACTGCTGACACCAGCCCTCCAGGTACCTCTCCTGTTGGCACGGTTGCTATTCAGAATGTACTGATGGTATCTGGCCCAGAAAGCGAAGGGGATCCTGGACCAGGCGTCGCCAAAATCTCCGTCCTCATCCCAGGTCAGGAGCTCCACCTGGATATCATCCCAGCTCCACCGTCCAATCAGAGCTTCCTCCCCGATGTTCATCTGGGCCCTCATCTGGGCCCTGGCATGCTCCTCGGCCATATCCACATCCATCGTCTTGAAAGCATCATCCACAGCCTCCAAGAAATGAGCCCTCCATTCCCGGGGGTCTCGGTTCTGATACTGCGATGGAAGCACAGCAACCGTGTGAACACTTACCCCCACCTCGCTCAGCACCCACTTCCCGCCTTTCACTCACTTAAGCCCTTTGTGAAATCATCTTAAAGACCCATACGACTGAAATTGGGCCCCCGTCATTCCATGCCAGACCTGGGATTTCACCCTGTCCACTCCCTACAGTCTGTGAACTGGTATCAGTGACTTGGGAACCTTGCTGGGCCTTGGCGCCCTCACTGGACAAACGGCGTCAGGAGGCCGGGACCAAGACACAAACCAGGTATGGGAAGGTGCAGCCAGAACACAGGCTCTGCCTTACCTGGGCGATGAACCTCAGCACCCTCATCTTGCTGGTCTCATGGCAGGCGCGCAGACCCCAGAGGAACTCATACTCGGGTGGGCTGCTACTGGGGACCTTCTTGTATTCCAGGTACCTGCGTGAGAGAGGACAACAAACCTCTGCTCCCAGACAGGCACACCTGTGGCTGGCTGCTCCAGTGGCTCCCAGGTAGTCCCTTCCCAGCCCAGAGGCTGCAGCTCAGCTGCTGCAGGAGGCCTGCCCTGGCCCCACAGCTCCTGCCCCGCCTTCCACACCGGCTCCCAGGGTTTCTGCCTCCTAAATGGAGGGGCTCACACCCCTAGGCCACTGGTCCTGCCCAGTAGCCATGGGGAGGTGCAGGGGGCACGTGTAGGGTACTTGCTCAGAGGAAGGCCACGAGTTTTGTGCCCCTTGTCACAATAACCCAGATTCCTGTTGGGTCTGGTGTAAGCAAGAGCCATTTCTTCAGGCTCCATACTCTGAGCACAACCCACCATGGGGCTTGTCCGCGACCTGACTGAACCCTGGGAGAATCCATCCTAGAAAACGACTGTATGGGAAGAAACAGTCAACCAAGAGTAGGGGGCTCCACACATACTCCCAAACATCTGTGAACGTGTGTTTGTGGGGCGGCAGGGGTGGGGGTGGGTGGGTGAACATGCACACAGGGCCTTTGTGAGGGCAAAAGAGATCTCCAAGCACTGATGATGGGGTGAGCCTGGGCTAGAAAACCAGCAGGGCCAGGCTCCAGGCCCAGATGGGCCTTATTCCAGTCAGGGCCATGATCAGGTTTCCACTCTCTGAGTCCCAGGCCCCCGAGATGTAAAGCCAGGACACGGCCTACAGGGCAGGTGTTGAAGGAGGTGGGGGCTGTACCGTCCCACCCGGTGTTTACAGACCGCAAGTGCTCCCTTTCCCCAGGCCTCCCTGGAATTGTCCCCTCGCCCCCCACATTCGCATCCTCCCACCCCACACTCACACCAGACACCCATCCCTCTGGTGTTAAGACATGGGCCGGGGGATGACTTCCTCAGCCAGAGCAGCACACGAGGAAGGCTTGAGTGGGAGGCAAAGATACTCACTTCTGCTTCACAAAGTCCTCTGTAATGAGTTTCCTCAGATCGCCAAGGAATGGGTGCCTCACCCTGAGGGCAAGGAAAGGAACGCATGAGTGGCAGTGCCTGGGTTGGGCAGGAGCGCTCCCAGCAGGACTGAGGGCCTCCTAGCCTGTGAGGCGTCCTCATGGACACCTGGGCTGGCAGCTGAGGCCAGGCAGCCACTTGTCAGCAGGGCCCCAGGGAGGGGCTGGATGGAGCCCCCAGGTCCGATGGTGTCTCTGAGGTCTCGTGTGGGAACAGAGAGGGCACACGGGGCAGGAGAGGGCTCGGGGTTCAGGACCATTTCCCCATGCACCCTGGTGGACCCTTGACGCTCTCCCTAGTCCAGGATGCCATGCGCCACAGAGACCGCTAGGCCACTGCAATCCTGGGGCCTCCTGTGCCCAAGGACACACTGAGGAGTGGGAGCCACGAGACCCCAATCATACCCGGGGCGCAGTCCCATCTTGCGGAGTGCCTCCCAGAGGACAGCTGTGAGAAGAGATGAGGTACAAGAGTTTAGCAGACGGAGGGAGGTGAGACGATGGGCAACCCCCCAGCTGCCTGTCCAGGCACTCACCCTCGCTGGCGCGGTTGCCATTCATGAAGATGACACCCAGAATCACCAAGAGGAGACTCAGCCTGGGAGTGTCCTTGGTCCTGAAGGCGTAGAAAGAGGGATCCTGTCCAGCAGCCATTTGCCCAGGTGACCACAGCCGGCTCACCCAACTAGCCTCTCCCACACTGCTGGGCTACAGGGCAGTTCCTCCCACTCTGTATGGCTTGCTACAGCTGGTCCAGACAATTCCTTCCTCGGCCTGAGACTGAGGCCCTTCATCCATCAAATGTGGATGCTTACACCTCTTCCCAGGTCTCTGTCGAGGATGGGGTTAGGCGGGGAGCAGACGATTGGCAACCCTAAGTCCAGAGGCACACCCTGACCTTCCCTGCCCTTTGCCCACTCCATCTGGAGCGCGACTCCACTGGAGACCCCCGCCCCCCACTCTCCCCTTTCCCTGCCCCCTGCCCGAGGCCCACTCTGCCAAGCCCTGGCCGGGACCTTAGCAGAGAGAGGCAATCAAGAAGCTTGCTTGCCAAAAAAAAAAAAAGAGAGAGAAGAAGGAGCTTGCTTTCCTAGGAAGACAGGGGCCGGGAAGGGTGGGCAGGGCTGAAACCTGGAGAGCCGCAAAGCCTCGCCCCAGGCTACTTGCCCCTGCCTGCTCTTAGCTGCTCAGCACTGCTAACTCTGGGTGGGAGCCATGCTAGGCCCCCCAACCCTACTTTCCCGTTTCTCGAGAGGAGGGGGCAAGCACCACCAAGGAAGACCACCGGCCTCCTGTGCGTTCTCACTTTCCCAGGAGGCGGGCTGACGAATCCCGTGTGCAGACGAGAATGTACAGGTGCTCTTCCTTGTCAATTTCCTTCAGGTGGATCCCGAACTTCTACAGTGGGGAGAAAACAGAATGTGAGATCAAACATCCATGCTGGGTGTCCTGCAGGCGGTCATTCAATTCCCTGTTAGAACTCTTTCTTGGCGGGGAATCCCAAGCCCTGGGGGAGGAGGGAAAGGAGAGGCCATGGAGGAAGTGCCCTGTGGGAGCACCGACACTGGCTGAGACAACGGGAGTCACCTCAGGAGACCACAGGCGCTCAGAGAGCACGAGCGGGAGGAAGGAGGGGGAGGAGGCTCGCAGAGGAAGCTCCCAGGTGCAGAGGCCAGGGAGGGCTTCCCTCCAGAGCATGCAGTCCGGCCCCTGGGCCTTGAGGGGATGCAGACGGGGGGAGGCGGGCAAGGGTTCCCTGCTGCTCCTGCTCCACAGAGCTGCCCCCGGCCCCGCACCCACCTTTTCCAGAGTGTACGTTGCTCGTTCAATGATCTCAGGGAAGTGTTCGTCATACTCTCGGATGACATCCTTCAGCATGTCTGCAGGAGGGGTGGGCAAAGCACCAGGGCTGAGCAGCAGCCACAGAGCTACAGCCTTTCCGTCAGCCCTGCTGAGGGGAGCACACTCAGGACCCCACACCGTGCCAATGGAGCCATCGGCCAGGCCTGATCTGTGTGTGTGTGGTGGGGAGAGGGCATCTGGTGGGAGGCCCACAGGGCAGGGTGGCGGGAGCGGGGAAGGACAGAGTTCAGGGAGGGGGCAGAGGCCACCCACCTGAGCGCTTGATGGGGATCTTCTTGTAGTCTTTAATCATCAGATATTTCACCAACTTATTTGCCTGGAGAAGGAAGAGCGCACGGGGAGATCAAGGCGTGGGTGACCTCAAAGAACTGGCCCGCAAGGGAAGATAGGAGGGAGATAGGGGGAAGGGCAGGCTTCCTTCTTACCCTCTCTTGCAGAAGGGTCACATTGCGGGGTGGCAAGCACAGCACGTGCCTTGAGGGTACCTGGGACCTCAGGGCCATGGGGGGCCGAGGGGCCATCTGAGGCCGCGCGGTCGTCAGCAGGGGCTGCGATGCCCTCCAGGTCGGTGGGACCACAGGAGGCTCTCTCTCCTCCTCGCTGCTCTCATATTCGTCATCCAGGTGCTTGGACTGTACCATTAGACAGAGGAAAGACTCAGGGCGACCAGGCTCCCTGTGCAAAAGCGCCTGGCACACATCTTAGCCAGAGCAGGTACTTGGAAATAAGGGTTGTAGATGACACGCGGATGACACGTGCCCAGTGCTTACTGAGTGCCAGGCACTGAGCCAACCGCTTCTCCCTCCAGGCCCGAGGGTAGGGACTACGTGGAGTAAAAACATGCTGGTAAACTTGGCTTGGAGAAACACGTACGAGCTGAGAGAAGAGGGAGGGGGAAGAAGAGGGAGAGGAAGGGAGGGGAGGAGGCAGAGAGCTGAGAGGGCAGAGAAAGCAGGGGAGCAAGGAGGGTGGGAGACAGCAGGGAGGTCTCACCTTCTTTGTCCTCTTGCCGCCCATTCTGGCCCAGGGCTCCGCACTCTGCTGAGAAGTGGCAGCTGCACTCTCAGGCTCAGGGATGCTCGTGGCCATCTTGGCCTTGGCGGCAGCTGCTGCCACAACATTCTGAGGCTCCACCCAGCGAGTCTTGGCGAGAGCCTTCCCGGACTTGGTCGTCTTCGGCCGGGTGGCCGCCCCCTCCCCGGTAGAGGCTGCCTGAGTGCCCCTGGAGGCAACACTGGGGCCCTCTGTGGCAGCCTCTTGGGCCGGGGCAGGTCTCTTGGGGCGTGGGAAGGCCATGCCACTGACACCTGCCGGCTGGCTGAAATCAAAGGCGTCGTTCTGACCCAGGAAGGCTGTCTTGGGCCGGGTGGCATCCATCTCACTTGCACGCGAGGCCTGGGGGAAAGCACAGGCCGTACTAGGGCCCTCGGCTGCAGCTTCCTGGGCCTGGGAGGATGTCTGCGGCTGTGGAGACCTTGCTGGAGCCCCAGGGGCAGCCATCTCGCTATTGACTAGCATCTGGGAGCTGTGCGGAGAAGCGATGCTTGTCTCAGGGGTGGCTGCCGGAGCCTGGGCAGCAGATGTCATGGGCTGAGTATCGCCTCCTGATGCCTGGTGTGTGGCCACCGGGTGGTGGTTAGTGACCACCTGATTGTAGGTGGCACGGGCAGCAGTGGCAGCGGCCCGAGCAGCTTGGTTAGAGGCGGCGGCCCGGGCTACGTTGGCAGCACGGGCAGCCGTCTCATTGGCAAGTGTTTCTGGATCCATCCGAAATGCCTCCAGCAGAGTTCTGGCCAGCACAGGGTTTTCCAGTTCCCAGGGCTCATTCTGCAAGACCAGGGAGGGGAAGGGAGGGCAGGGCAGAGCAGGGGAGGAGAGGGGAGGGGAGGGCAGGGCAGGGCATGGCAGGGGAGGGGAAGGCAGATAGCTCTACACAGATAGCTCCCCCTGTGTTGGCCAGCCTCCGACCAGCACCCCGCCTCCCCCACCCCGGCTTCTCCCAGTAGGAGAGGGAAGGTTTGGGTAAGCTGGGCAGTCCTTCCCCCTTCAGCCCCAGCCCTCATCGGCCCCCTCCTCCCACCCTCCCTGACGTCACAACAGAGAAGGCCCAGGGCTAGCAGGTGGCCGAGGAGGGCCCTCACCGCTAAGATGCGAAAGCCTGGACCCAAGCTCCCAAAGGCTCTGAGGATGCGGATGTCAAAGCTGGTGAGGGCGCCGTAGCCTCCGAAAGCACCAAATTCTTCATAGTCGTTGCCTTCAACCATGTCTTCCTCCCCGACTTCATCACTACCCTCGTCCATGTCTTCAACGTTGTACCCTTCAGATTCCTTGCGGTAGCTTCCCTCTGCCATGCTGGGGGTCCCAAGGAGAAGAGAGCTCAGCCTGAGAGGGATGAGGAGGCCTCTTCAGGGGGAGGGGGCGGGATCCAGCAGGAGGCGGGATCTCTCAGGAGGTGGAGGGCTGCAGTCACCGGGTTCCCAGGCAGTGTAAGGTTGGGGCGGGGGTGAGGGCTGCTGGGGTAGATTCCCTCAGAGACAGAACCCTAGGAGGACAGAGGAGGTCGGAGGAGACCCTGCACTGAAAGGGGAGTTTAGGTCACACAGGCTCCCCAGACCAACGGCTGGATTGGAACAAGGGGTGGACTCGTGGGCTTGGGTCCAGAGAGTCCCATAAGAGATGCTTTGAGAGAGGGGAAATAAAGCACCTCGATTTAATGGCTGGAGCAGGGGGCCAGGATGCTGGGGAGGAGAAGACTTGAGAAGGCTCAGACAACGGGGACCGCTGGAAGCTCTGGGAAAAGGAATCCCAGGGACCCGCTAAGTCGCAGTGGAGGGGATTCAGCTGATTCAGGTCTAGGCTGGGCTCATACAGGAGCGCTCAAGATGGATGGAGTGGGGGGCGCGGGGGGGGGGTCCTCGGTCTAGGTGAGGCTCGAACTGGAAGCGCTGGAGGTCTCAAAGGCCAGGATCGCATCTCGGGGAAGGGAGCAAAGCGGTCAGTTGGGTTACACCGATCTCAGAATGGTTGGAGTGGGGGTGGGGCCTCCGCGCTAAGGCAGCTCAGCACGGAGCACACGCGTCTGTTAAAGGTGTTCAGATGGTGGGCTCCGGTGTTAAGCAGGGCTCGAATCGGGGAGCCTGGGTCTGGTGGCCGCGGTGGGGGGCGGCTCCTTTGTTGACCACGGGTCTAATGGGATTCAAGTTCTGCGTGCTTGGGCTTTGTTCACATCCGGGGGCGGGAGTGGGGTGGGGAGGAAGGGCACAGCGTACCCGGTTCCACTTGCCCTCTCCCGGTCCTGTCTGGGGCTGGATCCTTACCTTCCCTGGGGCTCCAATGGCGTCCGTCCTCAGCACCAGGAACCCCGCAGCCGCGCCCTCGCCTACTGCTGCCAGCACAGCAGCTCCCACCACCCCGCCCCTTTTCTCCCCGCACCCCCCACCCCCCGCGGCTGGGCAGCCTGCGCATGCGCGGACCCCTCCAGCCGGCCCGCTCTCCCAACAAAAGCCTTTTCCACCAGGTTCCCTGTGCGCATGCGGTTCCGCCAGTGGGTGGGCGGGGTGGGTTGGGGGCGTTTTCTCCCTCCCGCCAGATTCCCCTCACCGTCAACCCCTCCGCCCCCGCGACACCGACCGGGGACGCGGGCACGCACGCCCTGTATTGCGGCTCCAACTCATCCATCATATACCCTCAGTCTCCCCACTTTCGCACAGTGCTTCTCAGCCCTGCCCTCCCCCTTGCCTCTAAGCTCCTCCGCTGTGGTCTGGAATACACTGAGCCCTGCTTCCCCAGCATGAGTGACCCCTAGGTCACCAGTACAGAGGTCTCTAGCCCGGTCGGTAACTGCAACAGGAGAAATGGAAATGGCGAGAGGACAGCAGTTCCCTGTGTGTTCTCCTCCACTGCCCATCTCTGGGGCCCCCAGACACACTGGGAACATCTGCTTCCCCAGCCACTCTAAGGGAAGCTTGTGTGTGCTGGGCATCATCCTCCTCTCACAGCAGCCCTGGGAGGTGGATGTCAGAAACCCCATTTTACAGATCAGGAAGCTGAGGCACAGACAGACGCATTGCCGTGAACTCACTCGACAAGGCCACAGAGCCAGTGAGGTGACAATGCAGTATTTGGGCTCGGGTCTTCCTGACTCCAAAACCCGTGTTCCATTAGCACTGGCCCCGGGGACCGAGGCACCCTCCCCTCTTCAGTTTGAGCAGCAGATCCACTCCACCTCCCCTGCCCTGTCAACATCTGTCCCCACAAACCGGGTTTCTGTTCTCTGAGACCTAAGCTCATGCTCTGCATCCCAGGGGGAACAGGTAGGGGGCCCCAGGCCCACCCCTTGCCTGCTCTATGTGGGTCCATCCAGGTGTGCGAATTGCTCCTTGGGGTCCACTCCCTGCCCTGACTGTCAGGCCCCTTCGCTGTGAGTGGCACAAATGGGCTGTCCCTGAGGCCTTCCTGGTGCCCGCTGGAGCGGCCAGGACAATCAGGCACTTGTGTGTCTGAGTCATGGCAAGCCCTGATTCAGAGTAAATGTTTGGCTTGGTTCCTTCCACGGCTGGGGCCTGGGACAGCTGTGGTCTTGTGGATAGAAGCTCTCCGCTGGACTTCCAAGTTCCAGGGACGGAGTGCTGGCTCAGTCTGTCCCTAGTTGTCTGCGCCCACTTGGGTCACTGGACATCCCTGAGCCTGGTTTCTCAATATGCAAAATGGGAAGCAAAAGGAGAACTTACTGGTGTCCCACCCAAGGGCGCACATGCTCCACAATGACTGAAGAAAATGCTATGCTCCCATTTCAAATTGCACCTCTTTATTTTTTTAAACAAACAAACATAGTGGACTTTTATATTTGTTTTTATATCAACCTCTCCAGGACCCCTGTGTCTGAATGGAAGCTATTGCTAGGACCAGAGCTTTTACTCTCCAGTGACCAACATCAATTCTGCTTGGCTGGATGGCTTTCCTCAGCTGTTGCATAGCAACCTTCCCTGTCAGCTAGCTGCTTGTGTCTCTCAGCCCTTCTTGTGTAACACGTTTCTGTACGACGTGACCAGACCTTAGAAGTGAAAGTCTTGAAGAGCCGCTGTGTGCTAATAGAAAATGCTTTGTTGCCTTCTCATTTTGAAACTGTGCTTTTAAAAAAAAAAAAAAACAAAATCCATAGTGGACTTTTACACTTGCTTTACTTTATTTTTATTCTTATTTTTTCTCTTTCTTTTTTTTTTATGGGGATGTAATTGACATTGAACATTATACTACTTGACATCTCCATGTGGGTGTCTCAAGGGCTCCTCACAGTGAGTCTGTCTCACTGTGGTATTGGGATAGCCACGCCTCCCACACACTCATATCCCCCATCTCTCTTGTTTTTAAAACTCCTGTCTTCACAGTCTCAGTACATGGCACCATGATGCACACGGCTACTCACTCCAGAAAAGGGGAGTCAACTACCACCACTGCCAAACTTTTGTCATACACTGCACCCAGGTGGGAGACCTCTGCTGCTCTCCAGCACTACCTCTCTGTGCAGCTCTCACCCCTCCATTACTCCCAGAATATTCTAGTCACATTGGCCTCTTGGAATTCTCAACTCTGTCTCCTTCACTCATTGAGCTCTGTTTGTGTTCAGTCTTTCTGTGCTGCAGCCTGGGAACTCTATCCAAGCAAGAAGTTGGGGTTGGGGGGAATTGGACAACCCAGGGGATCACCTTGTTAATTTCCCTTATGTTGGGGACCCCTTATCCTGTGTGGCTCATGGTGCCATGATGTAAAGCTTTATCACATTTTTGATTTATAGATGTTTAGGTGGCAGAGCAAATCAGATTCCTGTTAATTCATCGTGGCTGGAAGCATGATAATTTTTTTTTTTACATTCAAATGTTTTAACTGTGATCTATGCTTTTAAGATGTATCCACTCTGCTATGCATAGTCTAATTCTGTCTATGTGACCCGCAGGAACAACACATAGTGTGTATGCATGACATTTTACTTATCTGTTCCCCCAGGGACAGACAATCATATTTCTCATCTAAGGTAATAAACATCCATTCAAGATTTCTCAGCAGGGGTTTGTCATATTGGGTTTCAATGGTCGCTTTTTAAGCAAGAATTTTTTGAAGAAAAGTGGAGAGACTAGTAGAGGGGCAAGAATAGAAACATCCAGAAACCAGAGTATCTGTCGTTCCATCATACTGATGAGAAACAATTATGAGTTGTACAAGGGTTACCAGGGAGATGACGACGCTTGTTCCCCATTTGTTTTGCAGTGGAGTTTTGTTCTAATTGGTCTTACAGTATCTGTTCTCCTTTTCTGAGTTTATATCAGTATGACACTGCTCTCTGCATTTCTAGGCCTAACAGTGATGCAAAAAACTGTCTAATGACATCCAGAATGTCTACTGATTGCAGTGTTGGTTAAGGTCTCCTAATTCCAGTGGTTCTTCATGTCTGTTTTTTCCTCAATGGTTCATGCACTAATCTCGTGTAATATCAAGCGAGTTTGTGATTCTTAAGCTATTTCTTGTGGTAAACAGATTGTCCTCCTTTTGGCCTCATTTTATCTCTCAGTACTTTGACCTTGGCATTTAGGATGCCCAAATGGGCAAACATCCCTTTGCCAACTCACTGACTTCTGCTATCCCAGCTTTATCACTAACAGGTAAAATTGGACTTTACAGGTCATCTTCACAACTATTTCCACATATCTAACTCTTGTCTTTCAGTGCACAGAATATTATTTGATGTACTTCACTTTTTACAATTGCTGTGAAATAGTCAACACATAGCACTTCTGCTATTCTTGGAAAAGCCTTTCAGCTATTTTTAAATTGTATATTCATAATTTTATGCACTATTCTTTCTGGTTTCTCACCACTTACCACCTTCATCCCCGAAAAAAAGGATAAAAAAATATTTATCCAATAATTACTTTCCCTTGATGACCAGTCCCTAAATAAGCCTCACGCGTGTGCTGATTGATCATCCTCTTGCTTAAGCCCATGTTAACTGTCCTAGGACTGCTGTTAACTATTGGGAAAGTGATGTTGCACTGTCATTGACTCTCCTCCTGTTTGCTTCTCTCTGTCTTCCCTAAATATTTCATTGAGAGTCTATACCTGCGCTTCATACACCATCACACAAAGGTGCCCACCTGGGCTCACTGCAAACTTTTAGTCATTTTCTCAGAGGAAGGGAGGGAAGATCTTATGGCAGAGCTAAGATTGGTGTGTCCAGTGGAATCAGTGTGGCTAGCCCTTCTCTGTTTAAGTCCATGCAAGTCCTCAGGATGTTGCCTGTAAGCCTCTATCAGCTTAGGAAAAAATTCAGGCCCATGGTGATTTACAATAAAACATAAAAGTGTTAGTCATTCAGTCATGTCTGACTCTTTGCCAGCCAGGCTTCTCTGCCCGTGGGGTTTTCCAGGCAAGAATACTGGAGTGGGTTGCCATTTCCTCCTCCAGGGGATCTCCCCAACTCAGGGATCAAACCTGTGTCTCCTGAATTTCAGGCAGGTTCTTTATTGTCTGAGCCACCAGGGAAGCTCATACAGCTTGGGAAATATTGGCATTTAAATGTCAAAATAGGGCTGTTTTATTTCCACTGAGTCTCATAACTCGTAACACCACATGCAAGAATGTCCTTGGGACTGAATGATCATGGTTACAACCTTTTCATGGCTTGTGATATTAAATTCTCTATTTCATTTTAGATATTTGATATAATAAATTCCCAATACAGCAGCAGGGCAAACCCCACCTGGAATGCTTGTTTTGCTCCTGAAAGGGTTCAATTTCTTGCCAGTGCCCCCACAATGGGGAATTTTCCATGATATATATACAAAGGACTTGATATTTCCATTTTCCTTATTACAAAACCATTGCATACATCAGTCTATTACCTGCCCTGGATGTGCTTCCCACACAGCCTCCTGAATGGAGCTTGCTTCAAAATGAGGAGTGTTTACTTGTCCCTGCCCCTTTCCCTGTAACCTTATCACTGGTAAGACCTCAGACACTAGGCTTTCACCAGAAGCAATGAATGGAGTTGGACCTCTGTTGCCCTGATTTTTTTTTACAAACAGCTCTAATTTTTCATGGCCAATGTTAAGAGCTGGTGGTGCTAGAATGAAAAGGAGGAATGTATGAAATTCATTATTTCGATCACTACCCAATAAGGTGTGTTATTGGGGAGACATGTTTCTTTACTTTCTGCCTGCTTCCTGCGTGTCACCTTATGGTCCCACTTGCTGTCTCTCTTCTCCGTCTCTCCTGAGCTCCCCTGCATCCTTCCCCGCTTTTTGCTGCTACCTGTTTATCTCCCTCTTTCCTATGTCTTTTCAGTCCTCTAATTGGTTTTTCTACTCAGTCCCCCCTTCTCCTTCCATCCTGTACCCCCATTCCACATCTATGTATCCTCCATTTCCTGGCATATCTCTGTCTGTTTTCCCATTGCTGGGTCCATGTGGAACCG